AGAGTTGAGGGAATCTTGGCTATTAGGCTCCTCATTTGTGAAACGGGACAGTAAAAGTGCGTGTTGTGTAAAAGTTGTAAAGACTGCATGAGAAAATGCATGGACAGTACTCTGAGTGGATGCTGGCTCATTTTAAAGGTTTAGTGAACATGAACTGTTATTATCATGATGGTTGCCGAACCAGCAGCCCTTTCTCCCCTCTCTTCTCTCCACTGACAGATTTTGGCTCAAAAATAATAAAGAACATTCTATTAACTAGAGCTAATCAATAAGGTAATTAGGAGGTGGTGACCTTATCATTCTTCAGAGCTATTGGAGCAGAAACTTGTCATACTGGGAATGTCGTTAGTGGAAACATCTTTTGAGACATACTAGGCTGCATGTCCTCTTCCAGCCAAGTTGGAATGTCTGGCTACCTACAGTATTATCTTGGATTGCAGTGTGTTAGCATGAGGGGGCCCTGACCCCAGTCAGCTAATATCCCCTCCTTTCTCTCATTAATATCTCCAGGGCTAGCACTAGCCACAGTGATTAGGACAGTCCACCCCATTACCTCCCAGTGGCACTTCCAGCATCACTTCTCTGCATTGGCAAATACAGCCATAGGGAAACAGAGTATTTGTGGGATCCTGGTCTTATGTCCTTTTTCCTTTTTCTGATCTTAAAAGCTAAAAGATTCAAAGAGTTGGTCTTGGGTCAAGACAGATGATCTAAGGCCTTTATTGAGATTAGCAAAAGCTGATTACATATAAATTCTTGAAACAACTAACAATAATATTAACAATAAATAAATAAAATCAATAACAACAAAAAAGAAAAAAAAAGGAAAGAAAGAAAATCTAGACAGTTAGAAAACTTCAAGGACCTGAAAAATGGTGTATAAGTTCTTCTGTTATTTTATTGTGAGAAAAAAATTAAAATTAGAATAGAGGAAAACAAAAAAGAGTCTACATAAGCTCAGAATTAGGCATTATTCTTATGCATAATATTATTGCCTAGGCAAGACTCATGTTAGATTAATTTAGTAAGGTTTTTTTTACAGGCCCAGTATTGAAGTTTAGGAAAGTACTCTGTAAGACTCCATTTCTACAGAGTGGAGCTCAGTGGTTCTGAGTGTGAGCTCTGGTGTCAGTCCGGGTTTGAATCCTGGCCCATACTTATCAGCAGTATGAACTTGGGCAAATTGCCCACCTCCCTGTGACTTTATTTCTCCATCTCTAAAAAAACATATCTAATATCCAAAATATATAAAAACTTCTTCACCTCAATAACAAAAAACAAGTAACCTGATTAAAAAATGGGCAAAGGACTTGAATAGACATTTTTTTCAAAGAAGATACCCAAATAGCCAACAGGTAAATGAAAAGATGTTTGACATCACTCATCACTGATGATCAAATAGTGCAAATCAAAATTACAGTGAGGTATCAACTTATACTTGTTAGGATGGCAATTATCAAGAAAGCAAAAGGTAAGCGTTGGTGAGGATGTGGAGAAATTGAAACCCTTGTGCACTGTTAGGAATATGAAATGGAGCAGCTGCTATGGAAAACAGCATGGAGGGTCCTCAAAAAATTAAAAAAAGAACTATCATATGATCCAACAATCTCACTTCTGGGTATTTATCTAAAAGAATTAAAATCAGGATCTCAAAGAGTTACTTGCACTCCCATATTCATTGCAGCACTATTCACCATAGCCCAGAATTGTTGGAATCTAAATGTCTACCAACAGATCAACCAACAAAGAAAAGGTGGTATAAACCTACAGTGGAATATGATTTAGCCTTAAAAAGAAGGTAATCTTTCCATATGTGACAACATGGATGAAGCTGGGTACCTTATGCTACGTCAAGTAAACCAGTCACAGAAGGACAAATACTGCATGATTCCACTTACATGAGGTATATAAAATAATCAAACTCATAGAAGCAGAGACTAGAATGGTGGTTTCCAGGGATAGGGGCCGGGGAAATGGGGAGTTGCTGTTCAACCAGTATAAAATTTCATTTATGCAAAATGATTAGTTTCTAGAGATCTGCTGTACAACATTGTGACTACACTTCGCAATACTGTATTGTACACTTCATTTAAGAGAATGGATCCCCTATTAAGTGTTCTTACCACATTAAAAACAAATAAATGAAACAGCAGTAACAGCAACAAAACATGCCTGAGATATGGTTAGGGTTAGATGAAATCATTTGTGCGATATCCAAATGCATTAAGAATCTGACGCATACTACGTATTAAATAACCATTGATAATATTTTCTTACTATACCTGTGGGAAGCTAGATTGCTTGGATTACTGATTCATAACCAGACACCACCATTCATTGGGAGGCCTCATACTCGAGTTCCAGCTGCCATATCTAAGAGGAGAAAACCGACCCAGATGGCTGAGAGTAATTAGCAGCCCCCACGCACTCCCCAGCATAGGACTGAATGGTTTTCACCCAGGGCTTAAGCTATGTATCTATAGTGGAAACCCTTTCCGTGTCCAGTTTCTCAAAAGGGACTGAAATGGAAGTGTTCAGGGCAGTTGCTGGTTGTAGAACGTGATAGAATGCTATGTTGCCTTGCCTGACCTATTTCAGGCCAGAATGCTATTTATTTCTAGGGACTAATCAGGCAAGAGCTGTGATCTGGTTCTTTCTCAGGCAGGTGCTGTGTGCAAAAGAGCTTGGAGATTCAGCTAAACTAGAATCTGCACTAGAGCCCTGGCTATTTTAGTGCCTCATATATATAGTAGGATGGAAATTATTCATATTTTCTTTTTGAAAATGAGTCACAGAGTTGAGAAAGAATGTCAGTATTATGAATATTAGCAGAATTGTCTTATTTTTTAACAGGCAAAAATTCATGAAACTGGTGACCAGCATTGTCCTTATAAACTGTGGCTTAGATTAGATTGTTACAAATAATTTCTATATAATAAAAGGCTTTCCATTTTGAGACTGTTTAGCTATTTCCTCCATACTGATGGGACTCTGATCTCTCACATTCCTGAGAATTATGGGGATTAATAGAGAATAAAGCCAAAATTGGTCATTTTTCTTAGAAGCTTCAGGCTATTTTCTTTATTAGATATTGGCTGGGTTGCCCAAGGAAGTTATGGGTTTCTGGAAAGGTATATTTGTATTATATTATATTATATTATATTATATTATAATATTATTTTTAAAAAATTTTTAAAAAGATTTTTTATTTATTTGAGAGAGAGAGAATGAGAGGGAGAGACAGAAAACACAAGAGGGGGGAGGGTCAGAGGGAGAAGCAGGCTCCCTGCTGAGCAGGGAGCCTGATGTGGGACTCAATCCTGGGACTCCAGGATCATGACCTGAGCTGAAGGCAGTTGCTTAACCAACTGAGCCACACAGGTGCCCCTTTATTTTATTTTATTTTATTTTTTAGAGGAGGGGAGGGGCAGAGAGAGAATTTTAAGCAGGCTCCACGCCCAGCACAGAGCCCGACCTCATAAGCCTGAGATCATAACCTGAGCTGAAATAAAGAGTCAGGCACTTAACCAGTTGGGCCACCCAAGCACCCCAGGAGAGATTTTAGCTTGAAGTGGTTCTCTTTAGCCTGGATGGCTTGGCCATATCATCCTACAGGCAGAGAAGTGGATGAAATGATTCCTGATGCTCCCTGTACTGTGACCACTGAGCCCAGAAAGGCTCAACATGGACAGAGGTTCCTTCACAGTGTCTCGGGACCAATAGATCATGAGAAGTCACCATGGTAACTAGTTTCCGAAGGGAAGCTTCCAGAAGAACCAGAGGTAGGGAGCCCTCGTGGAAGTAGTCAGAAGCTTAAGGAAGTTTGAGAATTTTAATCAAACGGATTCTTTAATAGCACAACCAATGGCATTGGCAAGCCCTATCTTAAGTGATAGATTGCCCCCTAGTCAGAAAGGCTCGTATAGGCTGATTTCTAAATTCATTCAATAAATATTTTTGAATAGTGGTCTGTGTGCCTGCACTGTGCTAAGCAAGGGAATATAAACAAAGCACCATGGCTCCTGATTTCATGAACCTTAAAGTCTGGTTGGGGCGACCCATATTAACTAACTAACCACACAAATATATAAAGAGAGACTGTGATAAGTGCCCTGTACAAGACAGAAACCTTATCTTCAACCAACCTATGTGAGTGATACTGGGTGCTGGCATCTGGGGAAGCATCTGTGTAGAGAACTTGCTTTTGGAGGAGGTGTGGGGCCAAGATCAGTCCAATTTAGGACCACAAATATGAGCAAGGAGCAGACCTGCTGTCACTGTAACTGTAGGCCAAAGAGTACTAATTTAGCTCTATATCTGTGTGGGGCTTCAGAGACAACTCAAGTACAGGCTTTCCAACCATCTTGGGTGTAAGTTGTTTCAGAAATTCTGGGTCTTGTTGTATTTACAATCACCATAATAAACATACACGCCCTACGTTTTTCTTCTTCGGAATGACGGGTCATGCTGTTACCTGCTTTCCACAGATAGCTGTGTCCGCATCTGTGTTCACAGTGGCCTTGAATAGGCTGTGCACCCTCCATAGCTCCCTCGAGACCAGGCAGACTTGTCTTGGAATCTCCCTCCCTCCACTTGCATACTTGTTTCTTCTTCTCAGTCCTCTTGTCCTTCTGCTCTTTCCCTACCCTCCTACTTGCAATCCTACCTAGTGTTTCTCTGCTCCCCTTAGTTTATACCAGTCACATGATGCTTCCTCACCCTTCCTTCTCCTGACCACCCACCACGGCTTACAAAACTGAGTTCCAGTACTTCAGAGTCTTCTTCTCAGCAAAATAACCACATCCAATCCACTCATGAAAGTATTCTACTTATCTCTAAACATTGTGATAAGGGACATGTAATTAACATTCTGGAGTTCAAGGGGCGGGGGCTAGAAGCATGGGGCTGGTGGTGGTAGAGATCATTTTGGATGGGAAAGGCTTTCAATTTCCCTTACATCATATTAAGCAGGCAAAACCGAAATTTTTTTAATGTTTTATTTATTTATTCATGAGAGACAGAGAGAGAGGCAGAGGGAGAAGCAGGCTCCCAAGGAGCAGGGAGCCCGATGCAGGACTCGATCCCAGGACCCTGGGATCATCACCTGAGCCAAAGGCAGACGCTCAGCCATCTGAGCCACCCAGGTGCCCCGCAAAACCTAAATTTCGAGCCCTTCTATGGGATAGGTCATCGCAGCCCTTCTTTTCAAAGAAGTCCTAAAAAGGGACCTTGGGACATTCCCAGTGTGGGTGGGACCCCCTCATTTATCAAAAGAAGCATGATCTAAATGAGTCCAGGTTGGATTAGGTGAGGAATGAGACCAAAAAGGAGATGTGTCCTTGAAAGCAGCCCATCTCATAGCCTAGGGGCAGGCATTTGTTGTCAGCTGAATCACACTGCCTTGGGATTAGCCAGCTCTATTTTCTGTTTCAACAATAAAAAGTCTTGCAAAACTGCTGGCATGTGAGACAGAGGTATCCAGAAGGTCTTGGCATCCCTTCCAGCAGCATAATGGGTCTTAGGGAAGAGACTTGTGAGCGCGTGGTCCATGCACTCCACCACCAGGGAGAGGTCCACGTTCACAAAGGAATTTGTGCCTTTCAGCTTGTCTAGACCTGTAGAAAGAGACAAAAGTACACTTAACTCTTTGGAAGAAGGAGAAAAGGAGTGTGTGAGGCCAGGGTGTAAAGGGGAGGATGTGTGTGTGTGAAAATTTATTTTGAATTCGCTGTTAGAAATTGAGGCCCCTTGTGGTGGGTTCCTATCTATTCCTCAGAAAAGGATGCAGCAGTGCTTTCGTTAGACCACTAGCTCTCAAAGTTGAGCGGGCAGCAGAATATCCTAGAGGGCTTGTTAAAACCCAATTGCTGGGTCCCACCACCAGCTTCTGACTCAGTGGGTGTGAAGTGGGACCGAATAATTTGCATTTCTATCAAGTCTCCAGGTGATGCTGATGGTGCTGGCCCAGGGACCAGACTTTGAGAAGCACTACTTTAAAACAATGAGGGAAAGATACTTTATAAAGTCTACGAGCCACCTCCCCAACCCAGGAAGTTATGGGTTTGATTCCAAATTTGTTTTAAGGGAATACTATGTGTATAGGAAATGTGGATGTGTTGTGTGCATGTGCATGTGCGTGCATGTGCACCTACATACCATGTGCCTCTATAATTCGGTGAATAAAGAGGGAATCATCCCCAAAGTCTTGACTCAGAAAGCTAAACATATCCTGGTGATCAGGCAGATGAAATGCTTGAGTAATGAGCTAAGATAGTTTTTAAAGAGGCAGGTATTTTAGCAGAAGATTGGTAATGGCTCGGAGCATTCCTACAGTGCTCTTAAAACATACCTGAGTTGTGTCTTCTCAAGAGAAAATCTATGATTTTAAATCTCCTTTTCCACTTCAGGCCCCAGTAGCCACAAGTTGTTCAAAGAACCTAACTGAGATTACCTAACAAGTCTTAGTGGCTATTTTTTTTTTTTTTAAGATTTTATTTATTTATTTGACAGAGAGAGGCACAGCGAGAGAGAGGGAACGCAAGCAGGGGGAGTAGGAGAGGGAGAAGCAGGCTTCCCACGGAGCAGGGAGCCCATGCGGGGCTCGATCCCAGGACCCTGGGATCATGACCTGAGCCGAAGGCAGACGCTTAACGACTGAGCCACCCAGGCACCCCCTTAGTGGCTATTTTAAAATTTTATAACTATAGCCTGGGAAATGAAGAAAGGTGAGCTTAAATTCGTGGTCTTCTTTGGAACTATGCGTCTGGCTGATGTTCAAGTCCTTGTTTAGAAAACTAATAAAAACAACCAGTGCAGAATTGGGCTCAAGGCCTTTTGGTACCTCTTAGAGGGGACACCTGAGCCAGGGGCCAAGTCAAAAATAATTTTGAGGTGGAAGTTGATGACCTATTCATAGGCATTTAGAAAGTATCAATGTCAGTATCAAACAGAGAAAGCTCTTTTAAATGAGGGATTTTTTTTTTAAAAAAAGATTTTACTTATTTATTTGAGAGATAGAGACAGAGAGAGAGAGAGCACAAGCAGGGAAGAGAGGGAGAAGCAGGCTCCCCGCTAAGCAGGGAGCCCAATGTGGGGCTCCATCTCAGGACTCTGGGATCATGACTTGAGTCAAAGGCAGAGGCTTAGCCGACTGAGCCACCTAGGCGCCCCTATTTCTGAACCTACTTAGAATCTTCAGAGTTGATAATGAGTGAGAAACCAGAGCATTTATTTATTTATTTATTTTAAAAAAATTTTATTTATTTACTTGACAGAGAGAGACACAGCGAGAGAGGGAACAGAAGCAGGGGGAGTGGGAGAGGGAGAAGCAGGCTTCCCGCTGAGTGGAGACCCGGACGTGGGGCTCGATCCCAGGACCCTGGGACCATGGCCTGAGCCAAAGGCAGATGCTTAGCAACTAAGCCACCCAGGCGCCCAGAAACAAGGGTATTTAACAGCAGTAGTTCTCAGCATATAGTGACATGATAGCACTGGGAGGTTCGTGAAACCAGACGTTCTGGTTGATACGTGCGCGCACATGCGCATGTGCAGTGGGGTCGGGTGGCTGGGGGCGACTGGCATCCTAAAAACCTCCCCAGGTGGACCTGCCTTGGCTCTTGGCTCCAGCTCGAAAACTCCCAGCCTTGAACCTTGCCACAGTTGGCTCTCTCACCAAACCCACGGGTGAAAAGGCAGGATCAGTGTTTCAAGTTTACAGTGACGCAAATTTAGGTGGGGCCCTGTTTGGCTTAAAGCAAGAGCTCAGTACGTGTTCGAGGAACGCCGACTAAGCTTTAAACAGGACCAGGAAGTTTGAGGCGGAGGCGGGGCCGGTACCGGAAGTTCCGGAAGTTCCATCACCTCCTTCAGGCCTCCTTCCCATTGGAGCGCAGGGCCGAGAATAGATGGCGGAGTTAGGTGGTCTGGGTTCAAAGCCAGCGTTTCCACTTACTAACTGCGCGGCACTGGGCAAGTTGCTTCTCTGTGCCTCTGTTTCTAGATAATCCAGCTAATAGCTGCTTCGTAGGGTTTATTTGGGCATTTTAAATGAGACAGTCCATGTAAAGCCCTTAGAGTGGTGACGAGTACATAGTAAATATGTTAGTCATCTTCTCCATCCCTGACTCAATCTGACTTACGCGGCTTTGCCTTCCGTCTCCGCCCCCCGTGCATTCCTGCTCGGAAATTCCTGGAAAGTTTCCACCCAAATAATTCCTTCCTGGCCTTTAGGCCTTACTCAAACCTGACCTGTCTCATAAAGGCCATGTGACCAGCAATGCTTTCATCCAATGCTGAATTCCTTGGGCAATTACAGACTATACCGTCTAGCACCCCTTCTGGGCTGTTGGGTTCTAAAGAGTGCAGGATCAATTTTCTTGCATGCTGCACAATCTCGTTGTTTTACAATCTCACTTGGTTACTTTTTCTCCTCAACTAGACTGTAAACTGGTTAAGGGTCAGAGTCTGAGTCTTGATATTCCAAGAAGAGGAGGCTTGTGTAGAGGTGAAGACTTGGGGTCCAGTCTGGCTACGACCAGGAGGAGTTGTACATCTGTGGGTAGAACATTCACCTTTCCAAGCCTCTGCTCACTACCCAATGGTTCTTTTGAGGAGTAAATGATAAGAATTCATAAGGTGCTTAGTATAGAACTTGGCACTTGGTAAATGCTCAGTAAATGTTTGAAGTAAGAGATGGCACTGGAATTAATAGGGATCTCTGATCCATATTTAATCTCCTTATTGGTATATTATTATGAAAACCTTATTTTTTCATTTATATTTGAGTCTCCTTCATGTTGCCTATGACAATGAACCCCAGAGGAACCCTGGGTCCACCTAGAGACTTACTTTTTTCAATGTAACCTTCTCCGTACTGTTGTTTGATATCTGGAGATAGATGCTTCCAAATGGCGCGTTTTTTTTCAGTGGCTTTTATTGGATCTGATAATCCTGTTTTGAATAATCCTGGTTCAATACATGAAACATGCACACCAAAAGCTTTCATGTCCCGTCTGTGAAAAGAACACATTGATGATGTTTAATCCAGGTTTGTTTGGAGAACGTTTGCCATTTGGGTGATTATTTTCTAATGAATTTTTTCATGGGATCACAGAATTGGGTGGGTTGGGAAGGAGTATCTTGTTCTACACTCTGAGTTTGCAGTGAGGAAAGTTCAGGGTGGTGAAGGCTGGTTTAGTGGCAAAATGGGAAAGGGATCTGGGTAGACCCACTCCTAGTCTAGTGCTCCCCACTAAGCCATACTCTGTCATTAAATTAACAGACAATCGGGTTAAGTACAGGTTTCTTCTCAGTATGCAAAATAACTTATGGGGAGATGGAGTGGTGATTGGCCTAGATGGACAAGTTTACCTCCATTTTAGGAATGTGAGGACATTGGGGCACAAATGAGGACAGGCTGAGGGACACAGTGTGACAATCTCTGATGTGGCTGACCTGTTCCCTATGCTGCTCAGTGAGCTCTTTCATTATGTGGCCTCAGAAAACCAGAGGTCTACTGATTTACTGGGCAACAAGGTTTTAGGGGAATCATGATTCCACCCCTCCACCTTAAAAGCAAAACAAAGAATTGCAAACCATTATATGAATAATTATTTCCTAAATTTAATGTATATTTCCACCAAGGAATTACTTCTATAAGGAAGCATAATTACTTCTATAAGGAAGTAATTACTCATTTTATACAAGCCTTTACCATATGATTTTTAAAGAATTCTACCAATGAACTTAAAATGTAATTTATCTTAGGTTCTGCTTTCTAGCAACATGCCTATTGTTTAGTTTGCAGTGTACTTTACTAAAAATGCAAATTAGCTTGATCTTGGAAGATTTTGAAAAGTATGTTGCTTGCATTAAGATTATTAAAAAGTTATTTTCTAACTTAATTTACTTTACTCACCTATCTTCTGAGCTCCTTTGGGTTTTGGAAAGTAATTGGGAAGATTTGTCTCCCCACCTACTAATGAAATAACATATAATCTAGGAACAAATGGCTTTAAGTCACCCAACTAAGTTTACCAGGTAAGTCAAACCAGTATGAAACCAGTATGCATGCTGGGCAAATACAGCTTTAAAGAGCCCCAGCCTTCTCCCAGTTGGACCGTTGTCCCTAAACCCTCCTATATATAGAAATTCTGGAGCCACCACTAGACTGTGGCCTGCATGCACAGTACCATTTCCAATACCACTTCCACGATTTAGAAAAACAAAAACAAAAACAAAAAACAAAACCATTCTTTATTGGGTAATTTCAGGCATAGTATAGCTGCATTGCGAACATACAAGCCCTTCAGTCGGAATCCCTTTTTAAAAGTGGTTATTAGTCTCCAAGAGAGTGGGAAGAAACCCTGTCTCTCTCTTTCCTCCCATCATGTGGCTCCATATCCAGCACACATGTGGGAAGTAGTTGGCAGAATGGGGTAACTTCCGGCTCGATGGCAGTCCCAGGAAACAAGAGAGAACTGGAAAGATCACAGAGAGAGGAACTCAGGAAAGTGACCCCATAACATTGTTTATGCACTGCACATGTGCATGTGTGAATCTGACTTAGAGAAGCAAACTCGGGGACAACCATCATCCATATCCCAGACTGGCTACTGTGTAGTACATCTGCAGAACAGATCTGAATAGCACAGCAAAGTCTTTAAAAATCAAACAAACATTGAAATCTCAAAGTACAGAATGATGGTTTAGCAGTTGTGACCTGAACACAACCTCATCTATTGTCTGCTAAAACAAAAATATTGGGGCTCAGTCAGTTAAGCATCTGCCTTCAGCTTAGGCCATGATCTCAGGGTCCTGGGATCGAGCCCCATGTTGGGCTCCCTGCTCAGCCCTTCTCTGTGCCCCTCCCCCCCATAGCTCTCTCTTCTCTCTCAAATAAATAACATCTTTTTAAAAAATAAAATAAAACAAAAATATCAACCTTTTCCATAGGACTTAAATAAGGCCCATAGTCTCATGTCATTCCAAATCTTTAGCATAAAAACTGGCACATTCCAAATGTTCAGCATAAAAAGAACTGGAAAATCTCAACTCACATAGGAAAAGACAATGGCAAATGCTAATGCCAAAGGGACACAGATGTTGCAATTATCAAAGTCTGTAATGCAGCTATTATAAAAATGGTCCAGATACAAAGGAAAATACTCTTGAAGTGAATGGAAAGCTAGAATGCTTCCCAGAAAAAAGAAAAGACAAAGAAGAACCAAATGAAAATTTTACACTTGAAAAATACAATAACCCAAATAAAATATTTATTGGTTGGACTCAACAGCACAGTGATGGAGGAAAGTCAGTGAATTTGAAGGTAGATCATTAGAAATTATCCAATCTGTATAGCAGAGAGAAAAATGAGAAAGTGAACAGAACCTTAGGGATCTGTGGGACAAAACCAAAGGCCTAACACCTGTGTTATAGAGTTTCAGAAAGAGAAGAGAAAGAATAGATTGCAGAAAAAAATGTTTGAAGAAACAATAGCTGAAAACTCATCTAATTTGGCAAAAGATATAAACCTAAGATTCAGGAAGCCCAGTGAATCTCAAATGGTATAAATCCAGAGAAATCCATGCCTGGGGGCACTGAGTTGGGGCCTTTGTTTACTAAATAGGTCCTTTGTTTTGAGCTCTGTGGTTCTCTGATAACACAGCAAAAAGATGTGATCAGTGCTTTCTTGTGGGAGCAAAATCTTCACCTCTGATTAGTAAATTCCTGCTCTGAGTTTTTTTTGGAAATGGAAGCATCAGAGGAAAACTGTCTTTCTTGTCCTTGGGGTGGGGGTGGGAATGGGAAGTTTATCATCCATTTAGCTGTAGTGTCTGAAATGTATGGAAATTTGGGTCCAGAACTTGCAGCAAAAGGGGAAAAAAAGCTGTGTAGCTGAGTCATTATTTTGTGATAATTACATTTACTTTACCAGATAATTTTCTACTGAGGGTTTAAATAAGATGGTACTGTTGTGTCTGCAATTGACAGTTACACCAATGGAGAGATCTACCCTGATTTAGGCTCTCTATATGATTCCCTAACTATTTAACAAACTGACCTGTTGAATATAAATTCACCATCACTGTCAGCATTGTGCATTAATGCAAAAAGTAAAAAAAAGACTTGGATAGACTTAGGTTCAAATCTCACTTCTACCACTTACCAGCTGGGTGACCTTGGGCGAGTTACTTAATCTCTTAGTTTCAGTGGTATTGCCTACAAATTGGGAATAATTTAAAGCACTAAATAGAGTGTCTAATACATAATAAACATTCAGTACATGTTAGCAGCTATTATTTCCTAATATGTCAATGTTTGCTTTACCTTAAGCTGTCATTGAAGCCTTCTACTGCGTATTTGGATGGAGTATAGCCCCCTCCACTAAATGCAAGGCGACCTCCAATGCTGGAGACATTGATGATCCTTCCTTGAGCTTTTTTAACCAAGGGAAGCAAATTTAGAGTCACATTGATGAGTCCAAACAAGTTCACTTCAATAGGTTCTCTGTAGTCCTCCACTGTCAGCCAGTCGGTGGGAGCCAGCACGCCGAGAACGCCGGCATTGTTGATCAGACCCCAGAGACCTAGAACAGAGTGGAAAGAAAGGAGGTGTGATAGAAGATGGCACTTATGTGTCCTTGATGGAAATACAGCCCCTGCTTTACACAACTGTCCACTTTCCTCCTTCTAACCACATTCCTGCTTTGAAATGCTTTACAGTTTTGGGAAGTAACTACTCTGTGAGAGGGTAGGAGGCTAAATTGAAATAGTTGAAGCTCTGTTACTGGAAGCCAATCTCACAGTAACTCTATTTCTGGTTCTGAATGTAAAATACTGACACTGTCTGAATGAGCCTTTTGCTTTTTCATCTTAGATGCAGAGTAAATTGCTCTATTTTTCCCACTAGCTAGATCGCAAAGCCAGAGATTATTTATAAACTTTTTACAAAAAGCAATATCAATCTACTTCACATCTATTTTTGGTAAAAAAAAAAAAAAAATCTAGTCATCAATTGTTTTATTTTATGATGGAAAACATTTAATATTGTTAAAATTGTTTGGGATTCAAGCATTAAAAATTGTCTGGAGCATTATTAAACCACTGCTTTTGAGGTTTGGAGTCTCAACTATATGATGAAGATGTGATAGAGAAAAATCACATACATTTGTTTTTTCTGTTTTGGACTCTAACATCTTCATTAGTGATAACATTTCAAACTTCATTCAAACCAATAAAAATCCTCTAGTTTGGAATGCTGTCATCTTAGCAGAAGCTGGAGGAAGAATGAGGTCCAATGGCTTACTACCCTACCACGATGATCCTAGGTACCTTTACTCAGATTCTCAGGCTATTTTCTACCTTTTCCATAGAAAATATGTGAGTTCTGGAATCATTTTGTATTGAGAAGTGGGTCCCAGGTATCCACATGGCAATTTGGGGATTGCTTGCATGATTTCCTGTAGCTTTTAGCCCTAAGTTCTTTTGCTGTGAAGGTGGCCAAAGTAGAATTTCATGAGAGAAGAGCAGGAAAAGTCAATACCTCCAACTCAGTTCTAAATTCACTCACTGGGACTTATAACTGAGGATAATGTGGGCAGTGTCTCTCATGCAAACAGTGAGCTTGCAACTTGAAACTACTGAGGGCTCTATCCTAACTATGATTTTTCCAATATTCTCCAGTACCATAGCTGGTATTTAGGAGACATTTTCTTGAAAGGCCGTTTAAGATCCAAACACATTTTATTTAGCTGTAGCTACTTCACAACACCCCCTCCATTCTGCCACCCCCACATCACTCACCTTTTTCCCCAACTTGATTTTTCACCCACTGGGCAGTCCTCTTGACATTCTCTGGGTCAGTTACATCCAGAAGCACGGTGTGAAGTCTTTCTGAGGTTTCTGCCTTTAAAGCTGTTGATTCTGATTCAGTCAGACAGGCAGCAATTACATGAAATCCTTTTTTATCAAAAGTTCTGGCTGCCAAATTTCCAAAGCCCGTGTCACACCCCGTTATGAAAACGTACTTATCAGTAATGTCGGCAATCTTTAGCTGTCTTTTATAATTCCATAGAAAACCACAAAGGATTAGGAGGGCTAACACCCAAAAGAACATTTTTTCCCCCTGTATATGATAGGGACTCTCCTCTCTTGAACAATAAAAGAAGATGGTGACCTGAGAGTTCAAAATTAGAAAGAAAATTTAAATTAGTACCATCAAAGTGCTATAACCCAACATTGATGAACTTCAGATATTTTAATGCATTCGAATGAATAAATAGTTAAAAAAATTAACTATTATTTGGCTAGGAAGATAGCCACTTAAGCGATAAACCATTCCTCTAAAGTAATGCAAAAACTAACCAAACCATAGCCAGAGAAGGTAAACAGGAGAGAGGTGCCATGGCAAAGCTGACACAAGTCATTGGGTTGATGTGACAGTAATCTCATGTATGAATTCATCTATCTGAAACATAGACTGTCACAGTAAAATCTTATCTCTTGCTACTTCATGAAATTCAAGAGTAGAATAGGCAAATCTATTAGAAAATGTTCAATTCCAATTGATTGATTAGGTTCTTAATTATTTTTATACTATCAGGCAAAGTAGTTGCCACTATGAAAATATTTCCAAGTTGGTTTCCATTTTCTTATTTTCAGTGGGCTATTGTCATCCTTCAACCCAACTCTGAGACCATCCCAACTCCATGCAGAGAGTATGCAAGTGCGTATCCACCAGGGAGTTCATGGAGAGAGGGTGGGATGAATGGGAAGCTACTGAGGGATGATGGCCGAAGGCACAGCATCCAAAACAGAATCAAGAAGCCTCAGGTTCTATTCTCTTTGGACACTAGCTTTCTATGAGAAAAAGAAACACATGACGTAGGACAAAGGAAAGCAAATTCTTTCTGGAAAATCATGAGGCTTTGACCGTAAATGCAGCAGAATGACCTGGAAAACTAATTATTCCGGGTAAGAGGTGGCCTACGGCCTAAAATCAAACAGGTGGAGGGTTTCCTTTCTCCTTTCCTCAGAAGACTACCACTTGCATTTTCCCTAAGCATGTATTACCTTTTTATCTTTTTCTAAACAAAAAAAAAATATTATTTCATGTAGGCTGACTGTACCAATTTAGAAATACCACAGTTGTTTTGGATTAAAAACAAATGTTGAAGAAAGAATACTATATTAATTTTATAGTTCTTTTTTTTAAAGTGGCTTGATCTCATGACCTTGAGATCAAGACCTGAGCCAGATAGATGCTTAACCAACTGAGCCACCCAGGTGCCCCTATTAATTTTATAGTCTTGGCCATTTAAATGCATATGCCATCTTAAAAGTTATACTAATTATTATACAATGTTTGGCTGCAAAATAACAGTCGTGAATGAATCAAGCTCTTGTATTATTGAAAACAAGTGTGATACTAATTTGGAAGTGTAATATCAAAAGTATCACAGGGTGAAATTTCAGACTATTTTGGGATATGAAATCCCATATATTACAGTGTCATTTACAAAGACAGCCAATACTATCATTTTATTGTGGGTACTGATGGCCTGGGAAGAGCAAGCTATCCCATAGTAGGAAGTGAACAAGAACCAGAGGGCATTTGACTGCTTGCCTCAGGTCTGACCATCACAGCGGCTCAGCCTCCTAGCTCAGTCATAGGCAACGCAAAGGAAGGAGATCATTAGGTCCTACCCCACATAGGAACAGCTCTGGGTCTGTAGCTCTCTTTGACTTTGGAAGCAAGAGGGGTCACAGAGAACATCACCTGTGGGAAAGATCTTACTTCCTTCCCTTTTGACTCAGAAAGTTTCATTGCTTTGCCCTATGTGCACACATATCTCTGCCCTTGATCTAGATTCACCCTTAGAATCAAGAGGGGCCTTGAGTGCTTCATAGAGGACAATGGATAAGCCCTGGAGTTGAAGTTCAGACCTCACGGATGCTTCTGGAATCATGACTGTTCATGGACACGGTGTTCAAAGTACTTGCAAGGCCAAGCAATTTTATAAACTTTGGGCTTTCTTTCTTTCTTTCTTTTTTTTTTACAGGTATTTCCTGGTTTTTCATTTGAACCATTAAAAAAATTGTTCATTTTTTTTTTCTGCTTGTAAAAGTAACTTATGCTCATGGTAAAAATAATTTGGCAAATACAGAAAAAATTAAAGAACGAAGTAATGATTATCACATTTGACTCTTAATATTTTTGTTACATATTTTCTTCCAGTTTTTTTTCCTGTATATGTAAATATTTCTTTCCCTAATAAGGAATATAAACATACACACAGAATTATACACATATACTCATGTGCACACATACACACAACTTTGTTTCTACTGCTTTATAAGGAACAGATTATTTCAGACAAAAAAAATCACTCAATGTAATATATCTTCTTCACTTCTCAGGGAAATTTTGGGCTCTGCTTTCATCTTTCTTCCTGGCAAAAGATCTTTAGCTAAAGAAAGAAGAGGTAAGAGAACTGTCCGTTGATAAAACTAAGTCAGAGGTAAATATTAAAATATGGTAGGTTTGAGCAAACTGGTTGATTCTTTTGATAATAGCTGTGCCTATTCCTTTTTTTGTTGTTGTTGTTAAAGCTTTTATTTATTTATTTGACAGAGAGATAGAGAGAGAGCACAAGTAGGCAGAGCGGCAGGCAGAGGGGGAGGGAGAAGCACGTTCTCTGCTGAGCAGGGAGCCCGATGCGGGGCTCAATCCCAGGACCCCGGGATCATGACCTGAGCCGAAGGCAGATGCTTAACCGACTGAGCCACCCAGGCGCCCCTAGCTGTGCCTATTTCTGAAGCAGTCAAGTTTTTAGATGATCATGGCTTAATAATTTGGCATAGTTTCCCAAATCTTTCTTGTGTAGGAGTTAATGAGTTGTGGCAAATTAATGTCCATGTAGTAGAATTTTCCTTTCTCAAATATATAAATATGTTAAAAAGTGTATAATTTTGAGGTGAGGTGTTGGTGTACCTACCTCTTGGGAAATTTCATGTTTAGACATTTTAAGGAAATTTCATATTTATAAATTCAACTAGTATAGTGCTTTCTTCAAGTCTAGCCTCAATAAATTGAATAATTGAATAACTAAATGTTGTATTGTTTTCTAAGTGGATTCTGTAGCCTTCATTGCAATCCAGATCTCATGGAGTTATTTGAAGAAGCCAAATGCTCATGGGGTTTAATGTGTCCTAGATCAGAGAGTAGAAACTTTCTATGTCATCATGTTTTGCTGGGGGCAAGCGGAAGGCGAGAATAGTGAAAGAATGGTTTGCATTTGTGAAGCATTCTACACTGCACTTTTACATATAGATCTCATTTGATTCTCCCAACAGCCTTTTGAGTTAGGGCACATTATTTGCCTCATTTTATAGAAGAGTTAATATGCCAACTAATAAATGTAAAAGAAATGATGGAGTTAGAAAATCACCATTTGGCAACTGTAATAGTAACAATTACATCAGGCAAGAATGATCAATGGATGCTAACACTAGTAGGTGAAATTCTGATAAGACACAATAATTACAGAATCTCAAAAAAAAATCTCCCCATAAGATATGTACTAAGGAAAAAGAGAGCAATAATAATTTCACAGTGGAGAAATCTGACAGATACTGCTTTAATCAAGTGATACAAATTAACACTGCTAGCTGTGGGACAAACCAACATGATGTGCCTCCTGGTGTGTTGCACTGGGAAGGACACAGCAGCACTTTTGTGCATAAATGGAAGCTAATCCTGCATGAAGACATATCTCCCAATTCCGCACAATATGTGGCTAAGTCATGAAGGAAAAGAAAGATTGAAGACTTCTCCAGATAAATGGAGAATAAAGAGATGTGATAACTCAATGCAGTATGTGACACTGGACCAGAAAACTTTTTTTTTCTTTTGCCAGAAAGAACATTATTTGTTCACCTAGTGAAATTTGAGTAAGATTTGTTCATCTGATAAATAATATTGCATTCTCAATAAATATTAATTTCTCAATTTTTATAATTTACTATGATTATGTAGAAAATGTCCTGTTTTTAGGAAATACATACTGAAGTATTTAAAGATTAAGTAGCACCATGTCTTCAACTTACTCTCAAAGTTAAGAAAATAGTAAGAATATTTAAACACGTAAACATATTAAGGAAGCAGCCTAAGTGTCCATTGATAGATGAATGGGTAAGGAAGCTGTGTTTGCCAAACCACAAACAGGTGGTTGCTGGGGCACTGGTGGGGCGGGGGGGGGATGGGTGAAATAGGTGAAGGGGATTAAGAGAGACAAACTTCCATTTATGAAATAAATAAATCCCAGGGATAAAAATAGAGCATAGGAAACATAGTCAATAATAACATAATAACTTGTATGGAGAGAGGTGGTGAGCATTTTGTAATGTATATAAATGTCAAGTTATTACCTTGTATACTTGAAACTAATATACTATTGTATACCAACGATACTCAATTAAAAATAAAACAACAACAGCAACAAAACCCCCACATACATATGGATATAAAGAGAGAATGACAATGCAAATGTGATAAATGTTAGTATTTGGGGATTCTGGGTTGTATTATTCTTTCAACTTTTCCAAAAGTTTGAAATTATTTCAAAATAAAAAAGTAAAAATTTGGCAAGGGAAAATAAAGAATTTTTTTTCTTTTTTTAGAGGAAGTGTTTTTTTTTTAATCACACATGGATTTCTTTCTTTTTTTTTTTTTTTAGATTTTATTTATTTACTTGACAGAGAGAGACACAGAGAGAGAGAGGGAACACAAGCAGGGGGAGTGAGCAGGGAGCCCGATGCGGGGCTTGATTCCAGGACCCCGAGATCATGACCCGAGCTGAAGGCAGACGCCTAACGACTGAGCCACCCAGGCACCCCGCATTTTTTTTTTCTAAGAAAAGTCTTCATTAGATCCACAGGGGTTTCATGCATGAAATAAGAACTCCAGCATTTCAAGATCTAGTGATCTTGGACTTCTACTCTTTGGTAAGTTCACCTTCACAACCACTAGAGAAAAGCAAAAACTCAAACCGAAACAGTCAGAATCCCTCCTCTCTCCTCATGCTCTCCATTTCCCCCCTCACTTCCTCTTTCAATAGCCAAACTCATTTTTCCTCGGTGACAGGCAACAGAGAGAAGCTTTTTAGTTGTTAAGGAGGGGCTCACATTAAAATGTGTAATCACAGACCTGTACCTCTGAAACAAATAATACATTATATGTTAAAAACAAAAAAGAAGAAGGTAGTAGGAAGGGAAAAATGAAGGGGGGAGAAATCAGAGAGGGAGACGAACCATGAGAGACTATGGACTCTGAGAAACAAACTGAGGGTTCTAGAGGGGAGGGGGGTGGGGGGATGGGTTAGCCCGCTGATGGGTATTAAGGAGGGCATGTACTGCATGGAGCACTGGGTGTTATACGCAAACAATGAATCATGGATCACTACATCAAAAACTAATGATGTGATGGATGGTGATTAACATAACATTATAAAATTTAAAAAAATGTGTTATCTTCATTAGGTAACCTCTGGGCTAAGAGTCATTTCAGATGCTGGTGTCCCAGCCTACAGCCTGAATCCAGGCGACTACCAACTCCGACCTAGAGTTTTATATAGTCTGTTCTTACCCCAAATATTATTGTCCAAAAAATACTGGTTCTTCAATTCCTAAGGTTCACATTCCTCTAGGTCATTGGATTGAGTCAGTCACAAACCAATACCTACATACCTTTGACCTCTATTTTAGCCAAGATTCCATGCGTTGTCATGTTTCCTTACAGCAGCCCTTGGTTAGAGTCATTGGGAATACGACCTGTACACAGAAGCTGATTGATGGCCGATTGGTTCATCGACCACCAAGAAGTAAATGAATGACTGTAACTACTCTGGCCACCTCAACCATATTCCACCAGCCTGGCCAACTCCACATGGCTCCTTCGTCCCGATAATTAAGAGAGTGGGGGCACTGACCTTAGTTGCTTGGGCTGTTTGCTCATCTGCTTTGTCTTCCAGTTTATCTCACAACAAAGTGCTTAGCAGGGGTACACATAACTTGGCTCAAGGCCAGAGCCCCTCATATGTAACAGTCTTCTTAGGACCCAGTGGCTGTGAGCCTGTGAGCTCATCAAAGCTGAGGGCAGAGTAAGGGAAAGCAGATCAGCAGGCCCCCCGCCTCCCCAACCACAGTGCATGAGGACTGCTGCAATTCTATATATGCATCCTCTGAACTGGGCCTGGAGAGGTTTCCTAAGCCAAAATAAACACTAGCCACTTTGCTAGTAAAAATAATGTGGGAAGGGAGGACTGAGGCCACACACACACACACACACACACACACACACACACACACACACACGACAGCAGGGCAGCGGTTAGGAGCCCAGGTCTCAGAATCAGGCAGGTAGAGGTCCAGTCCCAGCTCCTCGATCACCAGAGGTCTTTGAGCAAATTATTTATCTTTTCTTAGCCTCCATTTTTCTAGCTGCAAAATGGAAATAATAACTTCTCTGTTGGAGAGTATCTGGTAAAGTAGAGTGACCAATGCTTGCTGCCCGCGAAGAACCTTATCATTATGGTGGGATCAGTCAGGTTTGCTTGTGGGGGGCCTGCTCTATGTATTGCTGATCCCTCAGCATGGGTTCCTCACCTGTGGTACTTTTTCCTATTTGGGGTGAAATAAATATTTGTTGTGGGGTCTGTCCTGTGTATTGCAGGATGTTTAGCAGCACCCCCTGCCTCTATCCCTGAGATGCCAGGAGCACCCCCTGCCCTGTTGTGACAACAAAAAATGTCTCCAGACATTGCCAGATGTCCCCTAGGGGACAAAACTGCTCCCAGGTGAGAACCACTAGTTTAGAGCTTCTTTGTGTTGGGGGTCCAGAACTTCAAAGTATCAGAACTACTTTTCTAGAAACACAGTCATTAGTTCTTTGGTAGTGCCACATTGATAAGAGTTTTAAATAAAACTGTCCTTTCTCACTTCTGCTTTTTTTTAAATTGCTATACTGGGTGTCTTTTCCTAGCAAAAAATAAAAATTAAGATCCTTCAATTTCACTTCTCTTATGTTCCTTTGCCCTTTAAAAATAAATGACAGTTACAAACAAACAAAAAGAACTGAGAATAATGTCTCCATGTCTCATGTCATGGTGAGCCCTACTTTTCATAAGAAATACAGAATTCTTTCTAAATACTTCCTCCCACACGACTTGATTTTATTTCTACATAATTCCATGAGGGGCTTTGTTTTAGAAAGCAATACTAAAACTAGTCAATCACACTGATCGATAGGAATTTGTAGAATTTTTATTTACTTTCAACTTGTTGCGATCACAGCCCAAGTTGAATCAACAACTAAGTAGTTTCTTAAAAAAAACATCAAATAGAGAGCATTTAGCAGTAGCTTTCTCAAATATTTTCCTTTTGAAGTTCTCTTGCACAGCTTTCTTAATATCGATGGCATTCTGGACATGTATGTCCTCAGTACATTTAAATTTTGTTAACCTAGCTAAGTTATACTGAATTCCTTTTTATTTTGACCTTTTCCTTGAAGTAAGAAGTTGTTTTTTTAACCCAAGTGAGCTTTCACAGATTTCTGCTGCACCTCTAAGAAAAATAAATAGTTCGACCTAATGACACAAACTAATTCATATGATGAATAAATTACATTTCTGTGGGAAAAAAGTGTTCAAGTTGGGCACCCAGAAATCTAAGGAAATTTTTTTCAACGGAGCCAAGGGATCCTATATGAAATATGCTTACATGGAGCAACAAATGCTTCTCTGAGGGTCTGATTAAAATAATAGTAATAGTAATAGTAATAATAATTATGATGCTGCTGATGATACAATTGAGGTGGTCTTCGTCATCATGGAAACAGTAAGTTCTCTCACCTGATGGAATAAAGAAGCTCATCCACCAGTTACATTCCCTTGAACTCTGCTTCCACCAGGACAGAGGGAGCGTGTGGTACCCAGAGTGTACTCTGTGTGGTGGGACCAGTGAGGCCTGGAGGAGTGCGTGTATCCTCTGCAGATTCATTCATTCAGAAAGTCTCCTAGAAGAGGTAGGGCAGCCACTCCTAACGGAGGGAAGGCCTGATGGACTTACATTTGGCATTTTTAGTTCTAAGGATGAAAGTATCTCTGATTTTCTTTTGCCATCTCTCAAAACTTTTAAATTATAATTCACCATAATAACCACAATTATTAATTAATGAATTATTCCCCATTCCCCCTAGGGTGATGACTTTGCCAGCAGGTTTCCTGATGGTATTAAGAATTATTGTTAAAGCCATGCTCGCTTTACTTAAGAGATGATATATTGTATATGATTATAGGTTGTTATTACAAGGCTTCAAAGAAAGCTTAGATGGGTGCCCGGCTGGCTCAGTCGGAAGAGCACGCGACTCTTGATCTTGGTGTCGTGAACTCAAGCCCCACATTGGGTATAGAGATTATTTAAAAAAAGAAAAAACGACTTAAAAAAAAACAAAGAAAACAACATGGAGACAGTGTTATGTATAGATGCAGAAAGTGTGTTCAAAACTTCAGTGTGTATCTTTTGTACACAGTTATCTTTGAGCAGAAGGAAAGGTCTGAGGTTTTAGTCTGTACCTTAAGAAAGTAACATTTGGTATACGGGTTTTACAACCAATTCCCCCTTTCCTCATTTGAAATGTATGAGATAATGATCTTTTTTTCTTGTATTTAAGCATTGGGATTTGTTCTAAAAATCGGACACACTTTTCAAATCTCAAAAACACAATACAAAAATGATAAGACATTTAAATTTCATTTTATGCAGCATCTAGCCAAGGATATTCTTTTTTTTTTTTTTTAAAGATTTTATTTATTTATTTGAGAGAGAGAGAACACCTGAGAGGGGATAGGGTCAGAGGACGAAGCAGACTCCCCGCCGAGCAGGGAGCCCGATGCGGGACTTGATCCCGGGACTCCAGGATCGTGACCTGAGCTGAAGGCAGTCGCTTAACCAACTGAGCCACCCAGGCACCCTAGCCAAGGATATTCTTAGAGCATCTAACATATGCCAAAGGATTCTAAGATAAATAACGCATAATCATTACCCTTGAGCTAGTAGTGTAGGGGGACATTTCAGAGCTATTTGAACAACCCAAGTTTATTTTTAATTTAAAAATATATTTTATTTAAACTTTCCCCCCAGCTGCTAAAAATCAACCCACTGAGGGAGCACACCACACCACCATTTAAATCATAAAGCCTTTAACAGGGGCTGCCAGGATTAAGTGGCAACAAAGCTACTAAACTACCCATTGTATTTTGTGAGTCAAAGTGAAAACAGACTTGGACTTGGAGGAAAGCCCAATGTCTCCTTGGTAAAATGCTAACCACAGGGTCATAAAATGGAGAGTAAATATCTGAAGCAGGTTTATTGCTGTCGTCTTAGTGTCCAGGAATCCAGTGTGCACTGTGAGGAAGTTTCCTGATTCCTTCTGACCTAGAAGGCGTTTTTCTCACTCGCTTTAATGTGCCTGTGTGCATTCGCCTCAAGAAACGTCTGGTAACACTGGCAAAGCGGGTAGACAAACAGATCAGACCTATAGTTAGCTGATGGCACATCTTTGCTTCCAGTAAGAGACTCAGCTAAGATTCCTACTCTTTCTGGAGCCCCTCCCCCATCCAGTTTCCAGTTAATTGTAAGATTTACAGATGGTGTCAAATAGGCACAGAGAGAATAACTAGATACAAATTTGGTTGTAACTCTAGGGTGCGAAGAACATTCAAAGAGAGACCTGGGGAGCGTTCTAGGAAGGATCCAGGTGACACTGGAATCACTTCTATGGTAAGATGGACTCAGTGTCCATCACAGCCTTCTAACATCATCATCATCATCATCATCATCATTATTATTACTACTATTATTACTTTATAGCATGAAAGACAACTCGATTAATTCTGTAAGAGTGTGGAAAATCAAAAGCAGTTTGAAAACTGACATGAGAAACGAAGGGATAAATGACAGAATTCAGTCACTGGTTACCTTACTGGAGATGAACTGGAGTGGAGAAGCTGTTGGGGACCTGGGCTGGGTGCAGGGCGGTTCTGCCCGCTGTGCTGAGGAAGGAAGGATTGAGCCACCTGACACATCGATCCTCTGGAGGTGGAGGTTCTCTGGGCTTCCGTCTAGCTCTGAGTACATACATGTGTGAGGAGTCCTCGAGTTCCCTCCTCACTCTGAGTCACTCTTGTGTGACACTGGCTGATGATTAAATCTCTCTTCAGTGGATAAAGGAAGCCCAACAGCTGTGGGTCATGTGTTGTTGAAGGAATTGGTAGTACCTTCAGTAAATTAAATTTAACAACTTTCAGGAGGGACTTAAAAAGGATTAATAACATTCCTTTAACTCTGAGTGCAATCTCTTGACCAGATTCAGCAGTTGAAATAATGCAACATGGAAGCGTTGTGTAAACTGCCCCGTGTGTTGTTTTAATCAATTAATTTTGAATTATAATTACTGTTCATAGTCTCTAGGGTTTTTTTTTTTTTTCCTTCCTGTTAACACATCTGTACTGATTTAGTACTCCTTCCCTGCTAAGAGAGTAGGTAGGGGACACCAATCTTTGAGGATTCTTTTTCTCTCATTTTTTTTTAACATTGATGAGCAAGGAGATGAAAACGATTTAATGCAATGAGGTTCTGTACTTATTTATGAGTTTTAATTTGTGTTTGAAGGTATGACAAGGAGATCTTACTGAAGCAGTCTCTGGAATGGAGATCACTGAGAATGGGAGAGGATGCTCCTTCCCTGCCCAGAGCTGGTCTGTTTCAGAGCTTATCACAATTGACCTGCCATATCCTGGGGCCACAATGGAAAACACTGAGGTTGCAGGTGAGGAGGAGAAAGAGACAGTGCTAATATGTACCTCCTTCCCCCAGGCTACCACCTCCCCCTTAAGCACACAGCCAGGTACAAACTTCACAGATTGCTTACTTTCAGTATGTGTCAATTTATTGCTATATGTCTCGGATTTCCCAGGCTTTTGTCTTCCCTCTTTGAAAATGCAATTTATTATGGTTTAGCTGGGATAAACAAATGAATGACTATATACATCTAGGTAGAGTTTATACACTGCTTTCATCCTGTAAATTAAATGGGGATCTTTTTTTCCCCCCCAAAGAACAAAAAACCAAGACTGAAATTTACAGAGGTGAGGATGTAGGGTGCCAAAAATATGCCAAATGTACTTCTTCCCCTTTACATTCCGTGGGTCAAAGTAAGGCTTAGATAGATAAACCTCTTAGAGAAGTAATACATTGACTCAGATCCACATGAAGGAAAGTATAAATGATTAATATCAGACCCTTCCTGTGAGCAATTTATTGTCACTGAGAGATGGAGAGAACCATAGGCACCTGGGTGGTCATGGAGGAGAGAAGGGAAAGGAGCAAAGAAAAGGCTATAACATTAGATCGTTTCTCCCCTTATCAGATGGTCCCATATAGAGGTTCAGTTAATGGAATCATTTGTCAGCAGTGCCCTATCTGGACTACATTCAAATTCACATCTTAAGAGCTAAATTTCCTTTCATTCTATTCCTTAACAAAGCAACTTATGAAGGGCTACTTGTTTAGAACTCTCCCTACATTCGATTTCTGGTCATCAAAGGTAACATAAAAAATACAGAACCAAATTGCCATTCTATTTTTTCCTAGTTCTTTTTTAAAACAGAAGATTACACTGTGGAAACTGTAGAAAACGAAACACTAAGCATATGACTGTCCTTTTTCTTTTAAATCTCTATGTCGTGAACAGACATTTCTGCAAAGAAGACATCCAAATGGCCAACAGAAGCATGAAAAAGTGCTCAACATCACTCGGCATCAGGGAAATACAAATCAAAACCTCAATGAGATACCACCACACCAGTCAGAATGGCTAAAATTAACAAGTCAGGAAATGACAGATTTTGGTGAGGATGTGGAGAAAGGGGAACCCTCCTACACTCTTGGTGGGAATGCAAGCTGGTGCCCCCACTCTGGAAAACAGTATGGAGGTTCCTCAAAAAGTTAAAAATAGAGCTATCCTACGACCCAGCAATTGCACTACTGGGTATTTACCCCAAAGATACAAATGTAGTGATCCGAAGGGGCACCTGCACCCCAATGTTTATAGCAGCAATGTCCACAATAGCCAAACTATGGAAAGAGCCCAGATGTCCACTGACAGATGAATGGATAAAGAAGATGTGGTATATATATATATATACACACAATGGAATATTATGCAGCCATCCAAAAATGAAATCTTGCCATTTGCAATGATGTGGATGGAACTAAAGGGTATTATGCTAATGAAATAAGTCAATCAGAGAAAGACAATTATCATATGATCTCACTCATATGTAGAATTTGAGAAACAAGGCAGAGGATCATAGGGGAAAGGAGGGAAAAATGAAACAATGCGAAACCAGAGAGGGAAACAAACCATAAGAGACTCCTAATCTCAGGAAACAAACTGAGGGTTGCTGGAGTGGAGGGGGGTGGGAGGGATGGGGTGGCTGGTGATGGACACTGGGGAGGATATGTGTTGTGGCGAGCTCTGTGTATTGTGTAAGACTGATGAATCACAGACCTGTACTCCTGAAACGAATAATACATTATATGTTAATAATAATAATAAAAAAATCTCTATGTCACTCCTATTTCCCCCAATTTCTGCCCAAGGGTGCTTTCTCCATCTTTTCCAGACACCAAAACACAAGGAGCACATCCAGATTCAAGGCTGTCTCAGGCGACATGTCTCGGGCTTCTTGCAACTGCACCGTGCTAGGTTCCAAGCCAGAGATAATCTTGAAATGAGATCAGATGAAGAACAGCACTTACCCCAGCACTGCAAGCTGTGATGGATCCAGCTCCTGGAGCATGGCTGGTGTCACTCTTGTAAGGTGGCCAGGGGGGCAAGGCTGTTTATGGAGAGTGCATGCTGGCCTTCCTGGCATAGTATAATCCTCTCTCTAAGGTCACTCTCAGTGCAGTGTGTCTCTCTGAATAACGATGAATTGGTATTATGACATTGCATTTTTACAAGTGTCCATCGTAATTTGTACTTCTTCCCTTTGTCAACAGACAGCTCTCTTATTTTCAGTATAAAGATCCCCTTATGACACCAACAATGACTTTGATATTCGAGCAGCTTAATGCTTCCCATAAATGCATAGCTAGGCTTAGTCAAAACTAGGAGCTTTGTTACTCACTTGGCATTTCCTGATTCTCCCAACTGTAAGGTGAAGCTGGGCTAATCTTTTGTTCCCCCTTCACTGTAATAATCCTTAGCTAAACTAATAGTAAAGGACTGAATTGTGAGAACATTTGGTAGATTCATTGAAAAAAGATCTTTCTTATTTGCAGAAGGCACAACATTTTAGCTTATTCAAATAAGAGGTCTTGGCTTGAAAGGTTCGGTGAGGAGTATTGTATTAGGGAGCATTGTCCTGGAAGGGCAAATGGAGCAAGGGAGATGAATGAAGGCTTAATAAGAAAAAAGTGACTCTCACAGAAGTAGGGAGGTGGGTGCTCCTTTTGGTGTGATCATCACAGGTAGAACATTAAAAAACAGAATGTTCCATGACCTAGGAATGATTCTCTTGCCAAGTTTCCTGGTTTCTTCCAATCCAAGAATTTTCTTGAAAACCAAGTTTCTTGGTTTCTTCCCAGAATTTTAGTGGAGATGGATAAAGACTCAAATGAGATTAGGAGCAGATGCTAGATACATTCTATCGTGTAATACGCAAGTACCACCCAGTAGGAAAGAACTCACTGGGATCCATGAAATGGAGAGGAGTTAAAGGTAACTCTTAGCAGTTAGAGATAACTATTTTCAGACCCTGTTTTGGGGTATTCGGAATTGTTTGTTTTGTGCCAGGCCTGTGTTAGGCTCATGAGATACAAAGATGAATAGGGCCTTTTCTACTGAAGAATCGCTTACGGATAGCTCACGGATCGCTGATTAGGGAATCCCATCGAGCTCTTCCGCTCCTTAGATGACCCTGCTCCTTGCTGGCTCCCAACATGTGACTTTTACTTGTGACTATTTTTTTTTCTGCTCCTTGAGACTGTTTTAGATTGTGGAGGAAAGGGTAACCTCATCCTCTGCTGGTGGATATGTGAACTGCTACAGCCTTCCTTGAAAGCTATCTGGAAGCATCTATTAAAATAAAATACACAGCATACTTTCTGACCCCGCAATTTCACTCTGAAAACAAAAGCCAGTAGATATGTGTGTATGAACAAGATGTGGCAACAAGACCCAAGAATAAAGTATTTGCCACCTGAAATACGATGGCTGAATAAATTGTGGTAGATGTGCACATGGAATATTATTTTGGAGCCATTAAATAGGACAAATTAGAGCTCTACTACTTGGCTTGGAAGGCTTTTTATGATGTCATTTTTGTAAAGCAAACAATCTCTGCACGTGCATAAAGATATTTACGTGAACATGGAGAAAATATGGAAGGATATGCCTTGGAGTGTAAATATAGGTCATGGGAGTTAGGAGGTACAGGTGAAACAGGAGAGGATAGGCAAGAGAAAAAGGAAAGGATTTCTTTTTTTTTTAAGACTATATGGAGAATGAGGGCGCCCGGGTGGCTCAGTTGGTTAAGCGACTGCCTTCGGTTCAGGTCATGATCCTGGAGTCCCGGGATCGAGCCCCACATCGGGCTCCCTGCTCGGTGGGGAGTCTGCTTCTCCCTCTGACCCTCTTCCCTCTCATTCTCTCTCTCAAATAAATAAATAAAATCTTAAAAAAAAAAAAAAGACTATATGGAGAATGAAATGATCCAACACAATGGCAGCTAGGGAAAAGTCCTGCCCACCCCCATCGCCCCCCAGAAAAGCACCAAAACTTACAAAACTTGAATCTGTTAGAGCCTTTACTCTACATCCAATCACCAGTGTACAAGAAATACAGAGAATGGAGGAAACAGATTAAATTATACTCTGGAAGTCCCATCAGCAAACCAATGGAGGAAATCTTAAGGACAAGCAACTTGAGTACATAGAAGTAAATTGCACACAAAAAATAGAGAGGAAATCTATCGATTAAAGGAGGCTTAAATAAGATGTAATAACTGGGGTGCCTGGGTGGCTCAGTCGTTAAGCGTCTGCCTTCGGCTCAGGTCATGATCCCAGGGTCCTGGGATCGAGCCCCACATCGGG